GCATTTTTTTCCAAAATGCTGCTCTCGCTGAGGCGCCGGCCTCATTTTCGGGCCCCGCTCGTTCCGAATCGTGCTCCCGCTGCAGCGCTGGCCTCATTTCCTTGCTTCCGCTCGTTCCGAATCGTGCTCCCGCTGCAGCGCTGGGCTCATTTCCGCGCTTCCGCTCGTTCCGAATCGTGCTCCCGCTGCAGCGCTGGCGTCATGTTCCGTGCCATGCCACGGCCTGCAATGCAATGCTAGGTTGCGTTCCGCTGCGCGATGCCATGCCTTCAGCTGAAGCTGTGATATACAGTGCGCTTAAGTGCCACGTCGTGCTATGCCGTGCTACGCTTTGATCTTCAACGCCATGCTATGCAATGTTATGTTCGGGGCCGCTGTACAATGCCATGCTTTGCGTTGCAAGGTTTCGCCATGCAATTCTTCACCACGCCACGCCACGCCATGCTGTGACATACTACGCTTTGCGGTGCTCTTCTACGCCATGCCACGCCGTGCTCTACAATGCATCGCGTACCCTTTCGGGATCATTGCCCTGCTCGACATCCGACTGTGCGAGTAGAGAGGGGATCTACGCCATGACGCGAGCGCGCCTAGCTTGCCCCCCCCCTCCCTAGCCCCCCCCCTCCCCAAAACCCCCCCCTCCCCCGGGGGGGGGATTCCAAACCCCCCCCGTTCGGCGCTGGCGCTGGCGCCGGAGGCGCTGGCGGCGGCCAGCAGCGCCGGCGGCGGGGACGCAGCGACGAGGACCAGAGAGGTTCCACACACACACACACCTTGGCGCCGGCGTTGGCTGCGGCCAGCAACGCCGACGGCGGGGACGCAGCGACGATGAACAGAGCCGCAGAGGGGAAACACAAATCACCATATCGAACCCTCGCCCCCCGAGAGCCACCGAGAGGCTATTGGGAAGGTCCAAGAGGCTTCACAAATGATCCTGGGACGCCCCCGAAACCCCTCTGACGAGACCTCAAGAGGCATCCATTAGAACTCTGACCCGAAAACAAAACACGGTGGCAGGAATACCCGAAGGCCACGACACCTCCACCACCACCACCGCCACCACCACTACCACCACCACAACCACCACAACCCACCACCACCAAAACCGCCACCATCACACCAAACCGCCACGCCACCACCAAAAACGCCACCACCACCACAACCCACCACAACCAACCACAACCACCACCACCACAACAAACCACCACACCACCACCACCCCAGTCATTACCGCCGCCACCACCACCACAACCCACCACCACCACCACCACAAACCACAACACCACCACCACAACCACCACCACCACCACAAACCACAACACCATCACCACCAGCACCAACAGCAGCAACACCACCACCACCAACACCACAGCCCACCACCACCGCCACCACCACCACCACCAAACCACCACGTCACCACCACCACCACTACCACCACCACCTTCACCACAACCCACCACCACAAACCACCCCGTACCACCACCACCACAAACCACCCCACACCACCACCACCACCGCTACCACCACCACAACAACCCACAACCACCACCACCACAACAACCCACCACCACCACCACAATCCACTACACCACCACCACCACCGCCACAAACACCACCACCACGACCAACAACACACCCCACCACCACCACCATAAACCACCACACCACCACCACCACCACAAACCACCACACAACCACCTCCACCACCACCGCAAACCACCACCCCAGCACCACCACCACCACCATCACCGCCACAACCACCACATCACCACCAGACCAACCTACCACCACCACCACAAACCACCACACCACCACCACCACCGCCACCACCACCCCAGCACCACCTCCACAACCCACCCCTGCAACCACGACCGCCAACCACCACCACCACCAAAAATCTCCACACCACAACCACCACCACCGCCACCACCAAAACTGCCACCACAACCGACCACCACCACCACCACCACAGACCACCACACCACCACCACCACCGCCACCACCACCACTACCCACCACCACAATCACGACCACCGCAACAAACCACCAGACCACCAGACCGCCACGACCAACCACCACACCACCACCGCCACCAAGACCACCACCACAACCCACCACCACCACCACAACCACTAGCACACCACAACCACCACGACCAACCACCACACCACCGCTACCAAGGCCACCGCCACAACTCACCACCGCCACAACCACCACGGCCACCAGCGGAAACCACCACAACCTTCACCGCCATCACCACCACCACAACCTGCCACCACAACCACCACAACAACCACCACCACCAGCACCCCCGACCACCACCAACCACCACCAGCACCACCACCACCACAACCACCACCACCACCAGCACAGCCCACCATCACCACCACCTCAGAGAGGCCCACCTCAGAGAGGCCCCAAGAGACGCTCAAGAGGCGCCCAAAAAGCTTCAGGGATGCCCTTCAGAGGCCCCCGAGAGCCCTCCAACGAGACCCCACCCAAGAGGGATCCATAAGGACTCTGACCCAACACCAAGGCACGGTGGCAGAGCGTCGTCGTCGTCGTCGTCGTTGTCGTCGTCGTCATTGTCGTCGCCGTCGTCCTCGTCGACGTTCCCCGCCAGCGCCGCCACCCGCCGCAGGTGCCGGCGCCGGCCAAGAAAAGGAAATCGTCGTCTTCATTGACGCTCCCCGCCGCCGCCGCCAGCCGTCGCCGACGCCGGCGCCGGCCCGAGGAGCGGGAGACACGAGAAGTAGGTGAGGATGGGAGGGAGGGGGGGGAGGGGGGGGTTTGAACCCCCCCACCCGTCACGGGAGAGGGGGGGAGGGGTTCGAACCCCCCCTCCTTCAATCCAGGGGTGGGGGGGTGGGGGTCCGGTTCCAAATCCTCCCCCCTCCAAGCACCCACCGAACGCGCTCTTGTGTATGTATATATGTATGTATGCGTATGTAAGCATATCTGTATGTATGTATGTATATATGTAAGTATGTATGTATGTATGTATGTACGTATGCATGTGTGTATGTATGTATGTATGTATGTATGTACACATGTCTGTCTGTCTGTCTGTCTGTCTGTCTGTCTGTCTGTCTGTCTGTCTGTCTGTCTGTGTGTCTGTCTGTCTGTATGTATGTATGTATGTATGTATGTATGTGTGTGTGCGTGTATGTGTGTATGTATGTGTATGCGCATGTATTTATGTATATATGCATGTACGTGTGTATGTATGTATGTGTGTATATACGTATGTCTGCATGTCTGTAAGTGCATACGCACGTACTCACGTATGCGTGTATGTATATATGCCGTGTGCCAAGATACATTTACATGTACACATACATACATGCATGCATGCATGCATACATACACACATACATATAGCATAGAGAGATAACACATCTATATACACATATCTGAGAGACACACATAGAGAGAGGGAGAGAGAGAGAGAGAGAGAAGAAGAGAAACAACAAGCCAACACATCCGCGCGCGCGAGGCCCCCCCTGGGATTTATGCTGACCTAGCTGGGGCCGAAGGCGGCACACGAGAGCCCGAAGAACGGGCGACATCGCGCCAAGAACGTGGGCGCATGGGTGTGAGGCCGCATGCTGGCAACAACATGCTGCCAATACCACTCCGAGATTGCGCAACATGGTCCAAGCTAACCTAGCAGACTTCAGCGACGGCTCGAGATGACGTACCGCCCAAACAATTTAAACAACCTTGTCTGTTCAAAGATGTTGATTATCTCGCCTTTTCGGTCCCTGGGAGCAACTGGCGCATGAGGGCTTTAGAATCAGAGTGGGAGCGGCGGTGTAGATGTCGTCGTCGAGCCAAGCTGTGGCTGCTGCGGCTTCGCCATGGAAGAGAAACAGGGCCCCGAGGTAAACGGGACCTGAAACACGGGGCTCTTCCCAGGACAAGTTTTCCATCACGACCTGTTCTTCGACGCAGCCCATGGCTTGGGCAGGTGGCTCAAGAGACCGAAAATGACGAAATCCGCCGACCTTGTCGGCGTGTGGAAGAGGCTGTTCCGTTTGACTCGTCGTCGTCGTCGTCGTCGTCGTCGTCGTCAGCGCGCCAGCCACAGCGAAATTGAGCGACGTTGTGCTGAGTCGAAGGAAGACCCCTTTCCTTTGATCCCTTCCCCGCCGGGGGGGGGGGTCCCGGGGATGGCGTCCTGGGGAGGGTCCCGGGGCGGTCCCGGGGGCGTCCCGGGGCAGATGCGACTCCCCCTCGGGTGGTTCGGCGGCCAAGAAAAGCCGCAGGACGCGGCAAAAGTGCTCCAAGATGTCCCCATGATGATCTTCGAGGGTTCATAAGTCGCCAAAGTAACCTCCAGACGGCACAAAATGTTTCCACAGCGCCCCAAGAAGCCTCCAAGAGGACTTCCAAGACGGCCTGCAGGGACAAAAATCATCGATGTCCCATACGTTGTTTAAAAGATTTCGGCGATGTCACCTGGCCAACTTCCTGACGATCCAAGACCGGCCAAGAAGCCCCCAAGACTGCCCTAAGATGGCTCAAGAGGCCTCCAAGAGAGTTCCAAAACGACCCAAGAGGGCCCCAAGACCGACCAAGAGGCCTCCAAGACAACCGAAGAGGCCCCCAAGACGGCTCCAAGGAGAAGCCCAGACGGGGGACCCGAACGGACATTTCGAGCCCTCGGCCTCAGATGCTCAGGAAGCCCCCAGAGGCCCCTTAGAAGCACCCCAAGAAGCCCCAAAAAGCCTCAAGAGGCTCCCACGAGCCTCCCAAGCGGCCCACAAGAGCTTCCCAGAAAAAAAACACACCCAATCCTCCTCCCCCCTCGCACCTCCTCCTCCTCCTCGCCCCTCCTGCTCACTAACGTCCTCCGCCACCTGCTCCTCAACATCCTCGTCGTCCTCGTCGTCGCCGTGTTCAGGGTCGGCGGCACCGGCCGTATCCTTCGCAATACGTCAGGACCCGTTTTCCTCAAGACTCCTTTGCTTCATGCCGAGTGCCCACTCCCCGCGATCCGCGGGGCCCTTGCCAATGCTATACCATCCGAGGAACTCGTACCTGGGATTCGGGGATCCAGGGGAGGGAGGAGGCTTGCGTGAGGATGTCGATGGTGATGGTGCTGATGATGCGGCTAATGACGATGGGGCGGAGGAGAAAGGAGAAGGAGGAGGAGGAGGAGGACGAGAGCGAGGACGGAGGTGTTAGATCAGCGAGGCTTGAGGATAGAGGCCCAGTCAGGTTTCTAATCGTTTGGGGAACCTCCAGGGGGCTCCTTGTCGCCACGGCTGGATCCACCTCGAAATTCTCTGCAAAACGTACCCCTGGAAACGTCGGGAGGAGATCGGCGCTGAAACAAACCATGAGAAGCATGATGCTGCTGCTGATGATGATGCTGATCATGATGATGATGCTGATGATGATGCTGGTGTTGATGATGAGCATGATGGTGGTACTGCTGGTGATGATGAGGGCGATCAATATGAGATGAGCAGCAAGGACGAGGGGACGGGCGGGCAAGAAGAGGAGGGAACGCGATATCTTCAACCGCTGTCGCCAGGAGAGTCCCAGAGATCACCAGGATGGCCCTGGTTGGCCTCGCAACGCCCCCAGGAGAGCTCCAGAGGCTCAGAGTCCGCTAACGCATGCATCCCATTGATACGGTGAGGGCATTGGATAAGGAACCATTGGATAAGGAATCCAGGGTCTGGAAGCCTGTGGAAATCCAATAGTGGATCGGCCATAGATATCACCACCGCCCTCATCAGGTAAGGAATCCTCCAGGGTTTGTAGCCTCCTGGGCACATTCCATAACCAATGCACCCACCGCACCACATGAATCCCATTGATACCCTGCCTTTTCCTGCAAGAACTGGGGAACCACAGCTCAGTGGCTGCGTCGAGCATCGGCCCAACGCTTTGCCACATACGCGCTGCGGGAAGCGCAGCGGGCGGCGGTGACTCGCCGGAGGTGCCTTCGATATCCCCTTACAGAACTTCATAGGGTCGCCCTCCGAGGCGTTGGCGAATCGATCTCCCGCCGCCACGTCGGACAGGGATGGGGTGGGGAGTGCCCCAACACGTGGCAATTGAAGCGCAGGCGTGGGCACGAGGGAGGGGCGCAGACTGACGGCAGCCCTGCTCGTTTTGAGCACGACTCGTTGTGGGAGTCGCTCTGGGCGTCGTCTGCTTATCACGAGACGTGCCTGTCCAGCAGCGGCCGCTGTAGGCTTGGGGCCAAACTTGATGCTGGGCACCCTCATTCTTGATGCCCCCCCTGGTTAGGGTGCCGTAACAGCTGGCAGCGCAATAGGGATGGGAGAAAGCCGGCTGGTAAGTTCACATCCCTGGAGTACCTCGGGAAGACTTCCTGATACTGGGCAAGTCGCTGCTGGAAGAACTCGACGTCGAGCGCCTGCTCCTCCTGGGCGAGGAACTTCGACAGATGGGGGCAGGGCAGAGGAGCAGGGAGGGTTACGAAGTTTCCCAATAGATGGCGGTGAAGTTGGCGAAGGTGGCCGTGGTGACAATCTCGATGGCACTAAGATCTTGATCAAAACTTGGATTGCGCTGCTAGTGGTCTCCAGGTCTATTACAGCTATGACCTCACCCAGAAATGAATTTATCCTCGGCAGCTCTGGCAGCCCGTGCATTGGGGAGCGAACCAATACCGTCCCCAATATTCGTTGGTCGCGACCTGTCCCTTCGTACGCATTCGGACCACGGGCTGGGTCCATCGTAGATGACCCCCCCAGCTAGGCGTGGGGGGTCGGAAGAGGTCCAGACAAACAATTCGCCCCCCAGCCGGCCAGGACCAGTCGACCAGCAGCCAGGCATTCGACCAACACTCGGGTGCGCGACCACGTCTGGCGCCAGGCACAATTTAACGAGTCCTGCCTGGACCTCATGCCCCGGGGGGAGGAGAAGTTTAGTGGGGGGCGTGCTCCACTGCAGACTCACCTCGTTCCCCTTCAGCCTCCCCCACAGGACTGGACCTAAACGTTGTTTTTCGTTTTGTTGTCGTTTTGTTGTTTCGATTTGCTCTATCTGTTTTCCTGTACCTCCCTGCCAACACGAACAACAAAACACAGCCAAAGTTCAGCAAAACAGTGTTTAGGTCCAGCCCTGCTCCCCCATGGAGCCTCCCATGTATGCAGGTGGCGACCCAAACTCACACGCCTCTTTCGCGGCCCAGTGCCTGCACACGGCCTTGCAGATCGCTTCCTACACTCGAGACCGCTGGGAGGGAGGAGACGTATGTAGTTCATGTTGGTAGCGATTGTCGCCGCATCCTACAGAGGTCTACATACTTCGATGCCAACAAATGTTGCGCGCACAGGTGTAACATATAGGCGTAGCCATGCATATCCGCCAGCCTCCTTGGGAGCCAGCAGGGTGCGTGGCCTAAGCTGCCCTGCTCTCTGCGCCAGTTCCATATCCACAGTATAAGTACAGATGCGCTCTTTTCCAGTTCCACTGCTGTAGTGGCTGAAAGCAGAGCGGGGGCGGGAACCCGAAACTGATCCGTTTCCCTTCTCGTTTTGGGGGTCCTCGGAATTTCTTGGGGCGTCCTGGGGCACGTGAACGACAGCAATGTCGGGCTCCCGAGGCCACACTCCCCTGCAACTTGCGTCAGGGTCACGAAGCGAGGCGACAATCCCCCGTACGTGACCCAGGCTCGCGCTCTCCAGCAATCCCATGTAACTTGCACCATGTTCGCGCTCCCTTGGTCTGGGCATCGCTCGGACGTCCATTCCCTGTGTTTTTTTCGGTTTCGCGCGTGGTTTTTTCGCCAAATGATCAAGGATGCTCCGCGATAGTCCTCGCCGAAGGAAACTTGCACACGTCCGAGCGATGCCAAGTGGTAAAGTACTACACCACCTCTGCGCCCCCGAGGCAGCAATCCCTTGGGCAATCCTCTGCAAATTCCGAGGCGCTGGCGGTCCCGAGGCCACATTCCCCGGTGAATGAATCAAGACTCGCGCTCCCCAAACCACACTCCCGAGTACATTACACCAAACTCGCGCGCCTCATGTCACAGTCCTCAGTAACTTTCAACAAATCTGTGCCCCCCCCGTATACTACGCGTTGGCGCTCCTGATGCTACAACCCCTGGTACATTATGCCAGATTGGCGCCCCCAGAAATCGCAATCCCGTGGTGCAGTCAGCCAGATTCGGGCTCCCGAGGCCACAATCCTGCGTACGATGTAACAAGCTTGCGCCCCCGAAGCAACAGCCCCCCTGGCCAATTGTTGCGAATTCGCGATCCCGAGATCACGAACCTGCCCCACGGAGGCTGCCCAAACGCGCCATCCCCTTTCCAGAGCAGAGCAATTGTTACTTCCTGTGTTGGGACATGCATTCGGGGGACGCTTTTTGGCATCCACGTCGTTTCGTGAGAATTCGGCTCCGGGCTCGAGGCCACGAATCCTTGTAAACAGCTTATGCCGCGCGCTCCCGAAGCCTCGAACGCTCGTAACCTACAGTGGAAGCGCGCTCTGGAGGCCACCACCCCTCATGAATCATGACGGGCGCGCGCAACCAGCCAACCAGCAGACAGCCAAAACGAATTGCCAATCAGCAATTTTTGAAACAGAAACAATATGAGTGGGGTAAACGACAGAGGGCGAAGTCCTTCAGTTTTCACACTGTGCACATACAGAAGACATGCACGTGGCGAGCATGTAAGGACATGCATGCCCATGCACATGCAATGCACCAACGCTTGTGCACTTTACATTTGCCAACTACACATCTACGAATGCATGGAAGCCATGGCGCTCGCAACCCGTGCTGATGCTATGCTTTTGGTAACCGTATGTGTACGATACGTATATACGCATATGGTTGTGCGTATGCATGTAGATGCGTACATATACTACCTTATGTGCTGTATATGCATCTGCAGAAGTTGTCACCCATGCTTGGTAGGTATCTATCGATACAGATCCACATATGAATATATGTATACGCATCTACACATATAGACTGCTTGCTCCCCTGCGCCTCAGATCTTGGCTCCAGCTTGGCCCGAAAGGAAGAAGGGGGAGGGGGAGAAGAAGGAGCAGGGGAGAGACCAGGGGGCAATGCAGAGGAGGGGATGACGAGGAGGAGGAAGCCGCTGAGGTGGAGGAGACCCCTTGCGAAGCTGGTTGACTGCCTTCCGCTGGGCGGGTAGAAGGTCCGATGGAAAAGATATCGCAAGCGCCTCGGGTGTGTCACCGTCGCCCCCCGTGGCCAACAATCAAGTGCCTTCGGGGCCTCGGGATGCGTGTTTTGGTGCTCGCGCGAGCTCGTGGGCTTGTCCTGGGGCCGTCTGGGGCTCTGGGCCATCTTGGGCTTGGGAGAGAGTAGCGAACGAAGAGGAGGGAATGAGATGGAGGAACGCATGAATTGGAAGAGAACCCTGACGAAACTGATTGGGGGAATTTTCGCTGGGCCGGTCGTCACGGTCCCGTAGATGGGGACTTTGATAAACCAAGACTTTAGCGCGCCCAGGAGAACTGCAGCAATGGGTCGACACAGTATCCCTTATTCGTTCTCTCCAGCTGGAATGTTCTAAGTCCTGGTTTGCAGTATCCTGGTTTCAAGGGCCCCGAGGTCGCATCCCAGAGGTTCCGCCAGAGACACCACCGAGGGGGTAGTAGGCATGACGAGGGGGAGGACGAAGCCAAAGAGGACGAAGACGTGGGGGATGAAACACGTCTGTTGGCGACGGCTTGTGGTCCTTCTAGGAGACCTCTTGGGACGTTTTGGAGCTCTCTTTGGCGTCATCGTGTGCCAGTGATGGGCCGCCTGGGACTGCTTGAGCGTGTTGTCGGGAGGACTGGGTGAGCACAGGGGTCCAGAGTAAAGGGCAGTCTCGTCTGTCTTTTGGGACTCTCTTGGTCTTCTGTTGGCGGCCGTTGGAGCTTCTTGTGGCTCCCCTCGGCCGTCGTGGGATCTCTTGGGCCGTCTTGCGGTCTCTGCAAGCCGCCCTCGCGGTCTGCCTGAGCCCTCTTTGAGCTGCCTTGGGCCGTCTTCGGGCTTTCTTGGGCTGTCTGTAATAACTTTGAAGGCTGTTCTCGAGTGCATTGGGGCATCTTGGGGCCCCTGTGGGCAGTTTTCGGCGATCTTGAGGGTCTGTTTGGGCCGTCGTGGGCGCGTGTCCCACCAAAGAGGCGAGCATGTGAGGAGCTGCTTCACATGCAATGAGTGCTGATGTGCTCCCAACCATCCTCTGGAGTTGGATCTTCGCTTTGACAAGACAGTCTCCGCGTCTCCTTCCTTCCTTCGCTCCTGCCTCCTTCCTTCCTTCCTCCTCCTCCTCCTCCTCTTCCTCATCCTCCTCCTCTTCCTCCTCCTCCTCCTCCTCCCATCCCTGCCTCTGCCATCCGCATGTCAACCTGTTCGGCGCACCCATCACATGCTTCGTGGCCCCAGTGACAGGGCTCGCATAGCAGCGCCGCTCCACGTTGGTCCTATAGGGAGCTCTACCGAAGGCCCCAATGGCAAGGTTCGCATGGAGGCGCCGCTCCATGTTGGCGCACCCCTCACACGGTCCGTGGCCCTATAGGGAGCTCAACCGAAGGCCCCAGTGGCAGGGTTCGCATGGCGGCGTCGCCCCATTTTGGCGCACCCCTCACAGGGTTCGTGGACACACGGGGAGCTCCTCCAACGGCCCCAGTGGCAAGGCTCGCATGGCGCCGCCGCTCCATGTTGGCGCACCCCTCATAAGGTTCGTGGCCCTATAGGGAGCTCCACTGGAGGCCCCAGTGGCAGAGTTCGCATGGCGGCGCCGCCCCATTTTGGCGCACCCCTCACAAGGTTCGTGGCCCTATAGCGAGCTCCACCGAAGGCCCAAGTGGCAGGGTTCGCATGGCGGCGCCGCCTCATTGTGGCGCACCCCTCACACGGTTCGTGGACCGATGGGGAGCTCCACCGACGGCCCCAGTGGCAGGGCTCGCATGGCGGCATCGCCCCATGTCAGCGCACCCTCACACTGTGAGTGGCCCTATAGGGAGCTCCGCCAGAGGCCCCAGTGTCAGGGTTCGCTTGGCTGCACCGCTTCATTTTGGCGCACCCCTCACAGGGTTCGTGGCCCTATAGGGAGCCCCACAGACGACCAAAATGGCAGGGTTTTGGCCCTATAGGGAGCTCCACCGAGGGCCCCAGTTGCAGGGTTCGCATGGCGGCGCCGACCCATGTTGGCGCACCCTCACACGGTCCGTGGCCCTATGGGGAGCCCCACAGACGGCCAAAATGGCAGGGTTTGCATGGCGCCGCCGCTCAATGTTGGCGCACCCCTCACACGGTTCGTGGCCCTATAAGGTGTTCCACCGGGAGCCTCAGTTGCAGGGTTCGCATGGCGGCGCCGCTCCATGTTGGCGCACCCCTCACACGATTCGTGGACTCAGGGGGGAGCCTCAACCGAAGGCCCCAGC